TGGCACACATATACAATGGAATACTGTTCAGCCATAAAAAGAATGAAATAATGCCATTTGTAGAAACATGGAGAGATTTTCATCCTAAGTGAAGTAAGTCAGAAAGAGAAAGGCAAATACCATATGATATCACTTATATGTGGAATCTAAAATATGACACAGATGAAATTATCTATGAAACAGAAACAGAATTGCAGATATACAGAACAAACTTGTGTTTGCCAAAGGGGAGGGAGCTGGGAGAAGGAAGGACTGGGAGTCTAATATACACAGGATGGATAAACAACAAGGTCCTACTGTACAGCACAGGAAACTATAGCTGATCTCCTGGGATAAACCATAATGAAAAAGAATACAAAAAATATTGCATATATTATATAATTGAGTTACTTTACAGCAGAAATTATCACAACACAACACTTAAACCAACCACACTTCAATTTAAAAAATATTATTAATAATCATTTAAAGCAAAAAAAAAAGCAATTTCCTCACCCTTCTGGTCTCACAGGGCTGCTGGAGTGTCAGGTAACTGGGCCACTCGATATCATTTTCTTATTTTTTAAAAATGGAAAAAAGTATCGGTTATATTTCAAGCCACAGAAAAATACCTAACTGACCTTTGGGTAGTCCAACCTTAGCTCATTTTTTTTTTTGAAGATGAAAAATTCAACAGTCCTAATTTCAAATTATAATTCAGAGATACTTTGTTTTGATCTTTCTTGATCTTCCTTCCAATATGCATTTTCTTCCACTCACCCAACCTGTTTATAACTTTCTTACATTTGACATTTTTTTATGTACTTATCACATTTGACACTTTAAAAGTAATTCCCTTGTTTTTACCAAATACCTAGAGTCTGTACAGCCAGTATGTCATTAAGGTTTACTGACAACCAAAGGCATACCGTTGAGTAGGTTTCTCTAGAGAAAGCATTTACTCTGGCAAGTGAACAAGATAATCTATTTCAGTGTGACAAGAAAATATTAGAACTTCTATTAAGATTTAGTTTTATCTCATATATTTTATTTCTATTTTTATATACTTTGTAATATATATTTGAATATCTATATAATTTACAAGTACATTTAATTTACATTTTTTGAAAGTATATGCTCAAAATATTTTTATTATGGTGTCATGATTTTAAAAATTTTGAAATCATAACCATAGAGAATCAGTAGGTACAAATAATATTACTAGCTATTATTTACTAACTGCTATGTTCCAGGCATTGTTCAATTCTTTTAATCATCTTAATTCACTTAATCCCCCTATCAACTCTATGAAGTATGTGCTATAATACTATACCATTTTATTCCCATGCTGCAAATGAGATTCAGACATTGAGAAGTTGGATAATTTATCTAGAGACACAGAGCTTCTAAGTGTCAGGATTTGAAATTAGGCTAGTGGACCCCAAACTCTGTCCTCTTAACTACTCTTGTTCACTAACAGTTACTAAACAGAGTGCCAGGTAGGACTGGGCTTAGTGGAATCTATGGGAGCTCATTCTCCTCACTCCTTTGATGACAGACATTTTCCATTCTCTTCGGAAACTCTCACCTGAACTTCATCTGTATACCAGATGTTGGGGCCACAAGATAATTTAGACATGGTCTCTGCCCTCAAGAAGCTACAGTCAATGCAGAAGATAAGACAGTTATATAAATAGCTATAATATAAGTGGAAAGTGAGAAGGACAAAAAATTTAAAGCTATAGAAATTTTGGAGAGTCATTACTTCCAGAGTGAGGAATTGGGAAAAACTTCATGGAATAAAGTACATTTGAGGTGGTTTGAAGCTATGGCTTATTTCCTCAAATCACTATATAACTGACAAAAAATTTCATGGTGAAAGTATCTTTGGAAATATTTGTTTTGGGTCTTGGCCTTGCCCTTTCTCCCTTTCACAGTCCTCTCCGTATTTAAAAACAGTAGGCTCCTCTAAAAGTGGTATAATCCTCTAACGCTGAGCCCAAACTAAGCCCAGTTTCCCTGGCAGGGAGAACGTGAATGCAGGGGAGGCATCTTATCAATGGGGTGGTAGGGGTGGTGGTGGACACCTAGGCTCTGATAGTTTGGTTTTGGGGCCAGGGCCCAGATTTCACAGCCCAGTGTGCCCAGGCAATCACCACTCCTACTTGTTCTGATGCCTAATGGGGACAAAGCATTATAAGAGACTATAGTTTTGAATTCAGTTTATAACTTAGAATTGAGGGAGTTGTATTTCAACTAGCCCAAAATAGTCTTCATTATAGAAAATGGTTCATGATAGCAAAAGAATTCCCCATAATTATCAGTAGAAAACTCTATCCTACTCCCACACAGAACTTTGTAGCAGGATTAATCAGAACTTAATAAGGCAAACAGTCAAGAGGTGGTTTTATGAGTATGCATCATGAGGTGAAATTTTTTAAGACTGGGAGCTGACACATTTTGAGGTAGTTTAAATTAGGATTTTGACAGAAGCACATTATTGTCACAATTGGTAAATGTGAGTGAGATTCAGTCTCCTCCACATATCCAATTTAGGAATGCAGTCATGAAGCCCCCACACAGTGATTCAATTCATGAAATACAGAGAAGAAATTATTTAACTCACTAAGAGATTTGGAAGTTGTCTTAAAGTCTGCTGAGAAAGTGAAAGTGTTAGCCACTCAGTTGTGTCTGACTCTTTGTGACCCCATGGACTATAGCCCACCAGGCTTCTCTCTCCATGGAATTCTCCAGGCAAGAATACTGAAATGGGTAGCCATTTCCTTCTCAAGACTGCTAACCCATGGCAAAACTGGTTGATACACGGGATGAAAGTCAAACTTGATAATTTTTGCACTTTCTCTCCATTTTCATTATAAAAGATTTTTACTTTGAAGAAGCTCAGTCTAGCATTTTCCAAGATAAGAAAATCAACTGCATTGATATATGTGTGATTCTGAAGCACTATAGCCAGAAGAGCATAAATCATCTTATGGGTAAGGGGGGGTATGGAATTTCATGAGTGATTATGCTGAAAAGCATGTCTGCAGACTTAAGTACTTAATACAACTTACAGTCTCTAAAGGAAAATATGGATTGTAAGAGAGGAAAAGTTCTGACTTATTTCTTAGATCTGCACTGATTTATGCCAAACATAAAGCCCTGGACTCATCTTTGTGCCTCAGATTTTCCCTGAATGAGAATGCTACCACGAATGCATCATAGGCCTTGTTAATCATTTTTATAAGTTCTTCTTTAATTTAAAAATTCTGAGAAAGTTTAACTTCAAAGAATATCAAAGCTTTTAAAAAGGCTTAAAGCAGAACTGATTCAAGCAGTCTAAGACACTGACAGATGCTTCTGAAAAGAGTCTGCAGACACGCAGAGACTTGAATTTCCCTTTGAAGCTTGTTTCATCTTTTAATAAGTTTTTCTTATAGTTTAACTATTCTTTCTTGCTTTACATTTTCTCTGGTTCCTTGAACTCTATCCATTCTCTAAATAGAAAACAATGTTATCCTACCCCTTGCAACATAAGAATTCCTGTATTATTAAAACACAAGTCTTTATATCCTTGAAGATACTCACAGATTGAGTAAGCAGCTAGTATTTATTGAGAACTTACTGTAGTCTAAATATGATGCTTATGAAAGGGGCATAAGAAGCAAGCAGTGTTCCAGACAGTACCTCTGAGAGACTTACTGCACTCTAACTGAAAAACTTGTTGAATGTGAGCTGAGTTTTAAGACCAATTCCAATCCTTTAAAGCTAGATTTCCCTAGTTGTGCCCTCTATGCTTGATTAGCTCCAATAACAGGGACCTCAATATCTCCTTACCAGCTGGCCCTTCCAATATCTGACCTCACTTAGTTGCTAGAGAAAACAAATTTCCATGTAAACTGAGCTACAAAACAGGAATGAGTCAAGCACTGTAAATGCTGAATCAGTTGAAAAAGACAAGTTTTGTATGAGGTCAGATGAAAGTGGAATCACTGATGGTTACTGTGGTCAGAAAAAGATGATGATTTAGGGTAAAATAACCAATATCTTTTGGTTTTCTCCAAAGTACAACATAAACGTGCATCTTTATTATTACTGGTATCATATGCAAATTCCAGTAATAATTAATATTTATTGAGTGCTTGTTGTTCAGTCGCTAACTCGTGTCTGAATCTTTGCGATGCCATGAATGCAGCATGCCAGGCTTCCCTGTCCTTCACTATCTCCCAGAATTTGCTTAAACTCATGTCCATTGAGTCAGTGATGCCATTCAACCATCTCATCCTGTCTCCTCCTGCCCTCAATCTTTCCCAAGAACTAGTCAATTTGTTAAACTGCCTCTCAAATGACACTATATATAAATTTTAATATAGGCTTTTTTCTTTTTACTGAAAGTAGGAAGGAAAATTAAGAACAACCAAGATAAAGGGAAGAGCTTTCAATGATTTCCAGACCTTTTCTAGCCCTAGAAATTTTAGATGAACATTTTGGCATTCCAGAACAATGCTGGAGGGTAGATATTATTTTCCCTAACTTGAAGAAACTAAGGCTCAGAAAAATTAAGTGACTTGCTAAGGTTTCAAAGCTAATAAAGTGGTAGAATGAAATTAAAACTCAAGTCTGTCTGATTCCAAAAACTGTGCTTTTTCCATTATATTTTAGTGTCACCGCCAGAGTGTTTGCCATCTAATTCTTATCTCCAGATTTCTTCTACTCACTGAACTGAATATAACTCTAATAATTACTAACCATATGGGTAAAATTCCATTAGTGATGGAAAACCAAATTCTGTTAGCAGGAATTTGAATATTACTGAACTGTTAAGTGGTGTCTGAGTATCTTTTGCTATAAGGAGATTTTGGACACAATGGCTTCTTTGTTTGCAACAAAATGTAACATATCTACATCTCAAGAGCTGAAATGCATACTAAATAAACTGCCATGGGGTAAGATGGCATAAAATTTGAATAAAGACTAAGAAAAGAAAAAAAGAAAACCACTAACTTTGGAATTTCTTGCAGGTATTCTGCAAAGGCTCACTGACCTTGGAACATCTGGATGTCTCTTATTGCCCCCAACTATCAGATATAATTATTAAAGCATTGGCCATTTATTGTATTAATCTCACATCTCTCAGTGTTGCTGGCTGTCCAAAGGTATGTGCAGGAATTAGAGGTCAGACATGTCAGATTGAAGTACTGCCAAAGAACACAGGTAGGACGGCAATTAGGTGTTGGACTCATAACAGAACTTTTCTTTGCCATATCTGAGGTGTTCAAGAGTTCTCCTTCCCCAAACTGTAAATAGCTTTATGATTTCATTTGTGTAAAAGCAGTACCTGGAAAAAGCTAAAGACAATTCTCATACAAATATAAAAATGTGTCAAATATTTATTTAATTCACTAATGAGAGAGCCAGCAAAATGATGAAGTCAGTTCATACAGCATTTGATCAAACTGAGTATTTATAGGAACTGAAGAAAGAATGTTGGAACATGATTGTTAGGTTAAATCCAAAATTGGTTAAAGTCCTACAAGGTAACAAATCAATAACCTTAGAGGTATAGTTTCTACCAGAAATAATCTGCATCTCTCTTAGACAAAAATAAAACAGGTAGAGTTTGAGCCCTAATCAATAATAAATAGTATGTCCAAAAAAATTGCATAATTCCTTGTAGAATTTCTCAGTTGGACCAGTTAAAATCATGTTCCAGTAAATGCTGAAAGGGTAGGCAACCATCTTTTGTCTTATTTTCAAGTGTTTGACAATTTTTCTTGACATCTGTCTTTGAAAGGAATTTATACTCATTGCAAAATCTTTGGACTGCATACATTAAAAGTACGAAAGTAAAAATTCAAAGTCATACCACCATCCAGGACATAACCACTGGCATTTTATACTTACTTTTCTAGAATTCTTTTCTATGTACAGAGATTGTAGTTAAAGAAGGTTTGTCTTGCTTTTTAAAGAATAGAATCATGCTTTCTAAAATACACTGTAATCTGCTTTCTTTTCTCTTAATATACTACAGATATTATCACCAGGTCAAGAAATAGAGGTCTCTGGTGCTGGATTAATAGGGCAGATTAAATATATCCTGATAATTTTGTTCCCTCTTGAAACGCTACCAAAACTGCAGAAGAAGGGTGAGGGCCCACAATGATAGGGAAAACAGTAGGAGACAAAAACAACAAAATTTTGGAAACCTGAAAATAGATGAATTAATTTAGCATACCAGAGACAACTTTGAATCCTAAACCAATAGTAGAGAAAGCTGGGGAAAGAATGGATTTACACCATAACCTTCAAACTTAGCAATACTGTATACTTCTGTAACTGGGTTAAGACGATGGCTAAAATAAGGAAGACTGGGTTAAAAGTTCTTGAGAAGTAGGTACATCATGAGATCTCCTTCCTTATTCTATGCTTTCAGGCAACTGCCCCTCCTCATCCTCACCAGATTTGAGATATATTTCCTAGAGCCAGATTTCTCAACCATGGCATTACTGACATTTGGACAAGATCATTCTTTACAGTAGGGGATTGTTTTGTGCACTGTAGGATGTTTAACTGCATCCTTGCCCTCTATCCAGTACATGTCAGTAGCACCTAGCCCCCCCCATACCTCCAGTCATAACAATAATAAATGTCTCCAGATATTGTTGAATGTCCTCTGATGGAGGAAGGGAGTAAAATCTCTCTACTATTTGCTCTACAGATAATAAAACAGAAAGTTCCAGGCTGGGAGACATCATGTAAAACTGAGAACTTGGATATAAAAGTGAAAATGGGAATTAAATGACTAAATGCTTAATGCAGAGGTACTCAGCACTTTTCCAACACAGCATCCAGAATTTGGCTGCCAGATCTTTCCCTCCAGGCAGGAGGCTGGAATCCTTTTTTCTGGGGACTCTGACTAGTCCAAGATGAAACACTGAAAAATACTGACATTTGTGGATTTTCCAACAAATAACTCATTTAGCCCTTTGAAGCTGAAAGAAGAGAAGGCCCATATTATGCACTCAGACCTTCTATTCAGCTTTTGTTGTTGTTTTTGTTTAGTTGCTAAGTCACGTCCAACTCTTTTACGACACCATTATTTGTAGCCCACCAGGCTCCTCTATCCATGGGATTTCCCAGGCAAAAACACTGGAGTGAGTTGTCATTTCCTTTCCCAGGGGACCTTCCCGACCCAGCGATCAAACCTGCATCTCTTGCATAGCAGGTGGATTCTTTACTGCTGAGCCTCTAGGGAAGTTTAATCAGTTTTTAGCTCTCCACTATCAATCATGAGCAGACGGTCAAGGACATGAGGCCACACTTAGGAGAAAAGCCTCTAAAGGAGAAGATAAAGACCAAAACAAATTAACAGAAAAATCTTAGAGGAAGTAAAATACTCAAAGGGAAGAAAACTAAAATATCTCTTAAAAAATCCTCAGAAATTGCTAAGTTACTAACAATTTTGTCCTCTTCTGTTGCACACATTAAAGTATCTCCTGAACTTTCAAGACTCCTTGAATTCTAACTGGTCTAAAAATTCAGCTCCTGAGTTGTTCATTCTGGGTAGTGAGTAGGTGATGAGAGTGATGCTAGAACCTCCTGATTTCTCTATCATTAATAATCCCACAATAAGGAGGAGGCAGTGGTGGGAAAGCTATTGTCGATCATGACAAAATTGATCTAGAAAATTTACAATAAAATTCTTCTTTGCTCAACAGCCTTTAGAACTAGGGAAACCAGATGTCTTTCTGGTCAGCATTCTAGTTCTAGAAGTAAGCTGGGGCAAGGTATTCAGGCCAGCAGTGACCATGAACCCTCTGCAGCTTGGGCAGTCACAGCTCACCGGGCCCTTGCTTCCACTGCACACGGACACATAGACACATGGGTAACACATGGCTCACTGGGAACTGCCCTGTCTCTATAGAAAGCACAGATGTTGACTGGGTTTTTAAAAGGCTCCACTAATAAGAGAGGGAAATAGGAGAATGAGAAAAGGAAAGACTCTAAAGAGAACAAGAACTGAGGCAGAGGATTTGTGTTTGTTTTGTTTTTGTAAGGAAAAACCGACAGAGTTCCTTCTACAAAATGTGCAGTGGACATTGTCTTACAGACCAGAAACTAAGGAGGATTACACAAATAACATTTTATAAAATGCATCACACTACACTGAAGATCTAGACTGAGAAAAAGCAAGGAGAATAGATTATTTCACAATCTCAATGTAAAGGAAAAGCATTGAGCTTTACCATCTATGCAGGTGAAATGAATATTCTGATTCAGAAGATGTAATGACCATAATATGAACACTCCCCACAGCCTCAGAAACCATAAGGCCGTAATCCTGTCTAATATATTTAAGTTCCATTGTTTCTGATGAGCCATAATACACTTCAGTGTCTGGCTTATCATTCTAGGCTACATTTTCCAAAAATCCATGAATTAACTTTGAATGGACATCTTATACACCTCCTGGAAGGTCCCTACAACCAGCTCACCTCCAAGGTTAGTGAGTAGTACTATGACCTCATCCTACCCGGCACTAAAATGGGAATAACATAATCTCTGCTCAATAGGACTGAGATCAAGGCCTTGTATCTGAGAGTTAAGAATGTGGCCAGTCACCTCGACCTCGTTTCCAGCTCCCATAAGTTCTAAAAACATCATCTCAGTCACTGAACACTTGGGATTCTGATCTACAGGAAATGCTGGGCTCCTTTTCAGTTCCTCCAGTATCAAAAAAACTTAGTACTCTGAGCTCTACCTCTCTGGGATTTTTCCATCATCTCATTGTCTTTTCTCTTCTCTACAATTCATTAGGGCAGGCTCACTCCTGCTCCCAATGATAACATATCCTCAGAGACCCATAGAGTGTGGCAGGAATGTCTGAAGGCATTTATGTGAGAATCAGTTGCAATGTTAAACCTTGGTCCTGAGCATGTTCTGGAAACAGGGCATACTTAGACAATGACATCTATCTTTCCAAACATAAAAAGTATACATTTCAAATTAAAGGGGGTTTCTCCATAATTCTCTCAATTTTATGTAAAAAACAAGAGCTTAGCCTCATGGCATGTTTTTTAGAATGTTCAAACATTTAAAGTAAATTAAATCCAGTTGGAAAAAAATTCCTTTGGGGAGAGTAATCTAGTTGATTCTGCAGCAAGTCTCAGTTCAACTATAAATCCAAATGCTAGACCTTGAGGAAGTGAAGTAATCTAAGAAGTGGAGTTGAATTACTTCTACAGAACATCTGTGCAAACCCTCAAGATGTTGGAACCCTTAGCAGAAATTCTCAGTGTGAGATTCATGTAGTCTCTGTGGCTTCTGCTCTTCTTTCCTCTGCTGCCTACAAACATCTCTCTCACCTACTAGTCCCTTTCCAGAACCAATTATTCCATACACAAACCATCAGAGATGTCCAGATCCCTTCTTATAGCAAGCTGATTCTGTTTGTAGGTTAATATATATATATGTGTGTATATATATATATATATTCATGTAATACATATATTACAGTTTTGTAACATGTGATGTTATTAAACTTATGCTTCTCAAACTGATGTTGCCTTAGAGTGGATTTCAAATTTAAAGCCAAATGCTGTTATAGCAGAATTTCATAACTTGCTCATACCAGTGTAACAAGCATTACTAGGAAAATTTTGATGAAGTTTCCCATCCCAAACAGGTAACTCTAAAATAAAAATAACAGCAGGATCACAAATTCTATTAGTACCACTTGAAAGAGACCTTTTACTGTTCTGGAAACAGACTAAGTCACTGACCTGAGTTATAGGCTCATCATATGATAAGAGAATATGCAAGGGTTCCGACTATATTTGTTATGGACTGAGTATTTATGCTATTCTAAAATTCACATGTTGAAACTCTCATCCCTGGTGCGACAGTATTAGGAGGTGAGGCTCTGGGGAGGTAACTAGGTTTAGATTGAGGTCACGAGGGTAGCACCCCCATGATGGAATTAATGTCCTTAAAGAATAGGAAGAAACTAGAGCTCCCTTCGGGCTTCCCTGGTGGTTCAGATGGTAAAGAATCTGCCTGTAATGTAGGAGACCCAGGTTTAATCCCTGGGTTGGGAAAATCCCCTGGAAAAGAAATGCCAACCCACCCCAGTATTCTACCATGTACAGTTACAGCAAGAAGGTAGCCATCTACAAATCAGAAGAGGACCCTCACCAGACACTGAGCCTGTGGGCAATTTGATCTCGGACTTCTCAGCTTCTAGAACTCTGAGAGATAAATGTATGCTAGTTAAACCAACTAGTCTGTGGTATTTTGTTATAATAGCCCAAACTGACCAATATACTACTCTTCCTTGGGATGCAGTTAGTCGAAATAATCAGTAGTTACTTTGGCTCTATGTACAGATTACTGACTCAGCAATGGAGATGTTATCAGCAAAATGCCATTATCTGCATGTTTTGGATATTTCTGGTTGTATCCTGCTTACTGACCAAATGCTTGAGAACCTTGAAATGGGCTGCCGACAACTCCGGATCCTAAAGATGCAGTACTGCAGACTTATTTCCAAGTAAGTATGTACCTGAGTATGAAAAGTTTTGAGAACTACTTCCTGAGAAAACAGATTATGTCACCACAGCATTCATAATACAATACATAGTGGCTTTCAGAGTTAGGAAGTTTTTATTTTTCACTTAACTGAAGCCAATATATTGAGCTGACCTCTAAAATGGTCTTTGTGGTTTTATATTCCTTTTCCAGTAGCCCTTCTACTCTTAGTGCTTCCCTTTCCTTGACTGTGCAGATGCCCAAAGCCCTAACTCTGCTCCTCAAGGAATAATCACTAGCTCTTCCTCTCTTTCCTTCTCAAAATAATACCACTCAGTTAATCTCCCATGTGGGTTAAGAAAATCATCAGACATAGCAGTAGTGGTGTTAGTCACTGAGTTGTGTCTGACTCTTTGTGATCCCACAGACTGTAGCCCACCAGGCTCCTCTGTCCATGAGCATTCTCCAGGCAAGAATACTGGAGTGGGTTGCCATTCCCTTCTCCAGAGGATCTTCCCGACCCAGGGCTTGAACCCGGGTCTCCTGCATTGCAGGCAGATTCTTTACTGTTTGAGCTAGCTCACAATTAGGTACAAATTACTAACAGTTATCCTAAGAGTCCCATCTCCCCCAAAGCTATTTGTTTTATATTTGTTATTTTACTAAGATCGAGAGCTCAGAGTAAGGTATTCTGATAACTGCTACAGGCCAAATGCCTATTTCCTCAATTTACAAAATGTTTCCAATGAAATAATAGCTGGGTAAATAAGAAATCTATAAAGGTAGAAGGTATCAGGTATTACCCTATAATTTTTAGATAGAAAGCAGTCTTTTGCTTTGTTGTTAATTTTTTTTTTCTATTGACTGGAAATAAAAACGTGGAAGTATTTTAACTGACCTGATGAAGTAACCTGTGGAGTGTTCATATGAGAATTCTTGACCAGTCCCTGAAGGTCAGGTTCTTTTCTGAAAGTTGGAAAATTGAACACTAAGAATTAATATTATCAAGGTACAAAGTACATAATGTGTTCTAAGCATGTAGATTTCACAGAAGAACTTTCTTAATTAAACAGCCCTGGCAAGAGCTGAACCATGAGATCTGTTCACTTGATAACTGAGGAAGAAAATGATTTCTGATCTAAGGATATGTGTGCTAAAATGAAATGAAAAAACAAAAACAAAGCTATTACTTATAGAATAAGCACTCCCACTGGGCCTAGACTTGCCAGGGGAGAAGACAGCCAACTGAAAATGGATCAGATAAAAGACGGCAGGTTCTTGAAAACTGTTGAAGAAGAATAGAGACTCAACCTTTCTTGATAGGTCTGTTTGAATATTATTAACTCAGAGTATTACACCATGAAATAAGGTCCTAGAAGTTTCTGTTGACCTTGTGATATCATAAAACAGCCAAGATGTCACCTTTGGGTAAGATGATAGACAACGGATAATGTATTACACAAAGGAGTTTAGTTTTTAGTCTTTTGATTATATTTTGCCAATCATTATTTTGGGGAGGTAATAAACTTCTGAAATGTAGGATGTTAAGCAAATGAATGGAAGACTTAGCTAGGGTCCCTGTGAACCTAAACATGGTTACCCATTCCTCGTGCAAGGTCCATAGATTGAAAAAAAAAATGCAAAGAAAATAAACAAGTAAGATTTTACTACTAGCTGGGGTTGGCTCCCCAAACCAATGCAAAACTCTAGTTAACTAGCTGAATCTATGGAAAATTCCTTTACCCAATCCAGGACAGTTAAAGGCCTATTTTGTTTTCTACCACCAGGCCTGGCTGTCCCTATCAGCCAGGAGCAGACAGAGATTGGCCCTCATGCTTAAAGGGGAGCCAGCTTATCTGCCCATCTTATTGTCTAAAGAGGCCAAACCATTTTAGTTTCCCTTAGAGCTCCACTCCTGCTAAGATAGAGTAAGAAAGAGGCCTAGAATTTTCTGATTCTATCCTTGTCTAGCAGTGGAGAGGGCTGTCCCACAGCATGGTGGCCAGGTTAGTAAGGCTCCAGGAGCATCTGTCTTGACATCCAGCTTCCAGGAGAGGATGCTACTTGTCAGTCAAGGAGGTCCCAAGATACTTGGGTTTCAAAATTTTGATTACAGAAGTGGTAAGGTCTGGCCTCATTTCGCTGTTTGGGCTCAGATCTAAAGACTAGAGCATCTTCTTCTTTACTTAGATCCATGGGATCCTTTGGTGGAGCTGGAAATGCTGCAGAGTATGTGAACCCTTGAAGACACAAGCTCATGATGGTATCCAATCCCTTACCTACGTCCAGTCTAAAAAAAAGCAGTTGTTTGCTCTTGCTCCCTCAACAGTGAGAGGTTTGTTTCGTCTGCGTGAAATGAAACATCTGGAAATTAGGATGGAGGAGATTTTTCTTGGGAAGAGGTTTCGTGACTTTGAATCACAAAGCAAAATATTCCCACACATCTGACTCCATTTGAACATATAAATGTATGAAATCATATAAAATCTAGTTATAGCCCTCAATAGAAATTGTCCTATATACAAATTCCTCCATACTCAATGGAATCTGAAAATATTTCACCAGCTTTACAAATCAAAGAGGTCTATTCAGCCCACCCTTTCTGAACCAGGGAAGTAGTAAACTTTTGGTCAATGAGCAAATTATCTATAGCTGTTTTGCAGGAGAGCTTCCAGCATGAGATATTCTGTCATTCTACAACTTTAGAACCTGAAGGGATCCCAGGAAATGATTTCAGACGTCTACATAATAAGTGAATGGAAGTCACTCAGTCATGTCTGACTCTTTGCAACCTCGTGGACTGTAGCCCACAAGGAGTGGGTTGCCATTCCATTCCTGGAAGATTTCCTGATCCAGGGATCGAACTCAGGTCTCCTGAATTACAGGCAGATTCATTACTGTCTGCGCCACCAGGGAAGCCCATAAGAGATACAATTCTCCTTTAATTCAAGGAGAAATTCTTAACTGAGATTATAAATATGACAAGAAAATCTAGCTGTCTACATTTGAAGCAGTTGTATTCAACAAGTCTTTCAACTTATAGACCTCTGTGAGGAAAGCAAGATAGGCAAAGGAAAAAATGAAAAGCATAATGGAAAGCCAGAGAAAGACCCAAACGATGGTCTCCACAATCCAGGAGGGTCTGAGCCACAAAGAGGCAGAAGAGCCATTAAGTCTATAACTGGCAAAGAGCAAGAGAACCCTTCTGACATTACTGGGGTCTGGAATCCAAAATCTTAAACATTAGAGAGATTAGCAGGGAAAATCTAGATGGTTGTCAGAGTTTTGAACAGCAGTACAGAAATTCTTTGAAGACCTTATTTAGCAGTTGTTTGGCAGTGTAAATTATCACCTAAACTCTGTAAGAGATCTGCATTGTTAGAAAATCTTAATAAATTCAGAGTTCTCTCCAGCTCATGGGAATGTCTTTGTGGAAAGACCTTTGTAATCTGGACCTACTGAATTTTATTACTAATATGAACAAATAATATTACTTAACTATTATTATTTGCCATGTACTGTATTAAATCCTATTATCTAATACTCACAAATACTCTATTATCATAAAAATGAATAAGGAAACTATCTTAAACAGGTTAAATAACATGCCTAAAGTCATACAAATAAAAGAGCCATACTCTGTACCTAGGTCTGATCATTGCTACGCTGCTCTTTTGTCTTTAGATTAGTGATTTTCAAGCTTTTCTAAAGGCCTAACACTTCGATTGTGTGGATCACAATAAACTGTAGAAAATTCTGAAAGAGAAGGGAATACCAGATCACCTGACCTGCCTCTTGAGAAACCTGTATGCAGGTCAGGAAGCAACAGTTAGAACTGGACATGGAACAACAGACTGGTTCCAAATAGGAAAAGGAGTACATCAAGGCTGTATATTGTCACCCTGCTTATTTAACTTATATGCAGAGTACATCATGAGAAATGCTGGGCTGGAGGAAGCACAAGCTGGAATCAAGATTGCCAGGAGAAATATCAATAACCTCAGATATGCAGATGACACCACCCTTAAAGCAGAAAGTGAAGAGGAACTAAAGAGCCTCTTGATGAAAGTGAAAGAGGAGAGTGAAAAAGTTGGCTTAAAGCTTAATATTCAGAAAACTAAGATCATGGCATCTGGTCCCATCACCTCATGGGAAATAGATGGGGAGACAGTGGAAACAGTGTCAGACTTTATTTTTTGGGGGGCTCCAAAATCACTGCAGATGGTGACTGCAGCCATGAAATTAAAAGACACTTACTCCTTGGAAGGAAAGTTATCACCAATCTAGATAGCATATTAAAAGGCAGAAACATTACTTTGCCAACAAAGGTCCATCTGGTCAAGGCTATGGTTTTTCCAGTAGTCATGTATGGATATGAGAGTTGGGCTATAAAGAAAGCTGAGCACAGAAGTATTGATGCTTTTGAACTGTGGTGTTGGAGAAGACTCTTGAGAGTCTGTTGGACTGCAAGGAGATCCAACCAGTCCATCCTAAAGGAAATCAGTCCTGGGTGTTCACTGGAAGGACTGATATTGAGGCTGAAACTCCAATATTTTGGCCACCTGATGCGAAGAGTTGACTCATTTGAAAAGACTCTGATGTTGGGAAAGATTGAAGGCAGGAGGAGAAGGGGATGACAGAGGATTAGACAGTTAGATGGCATCACCGATTCAATGGACATGAGTTTGGGTAAACTCCAGGAGTTGGTGATGGACAAGGAGGCCTGGCGTGCTGTGGTTCTTGGGGTTGCAAAGAGTCAGACATGACTGTGACTGAATTGAACCTTTAATCCCTTTTAATTTATGAAAAACAAAAGTCATTTACAAACTAAAGCATCTAATGTAATACAACTGTTTGTGGCGTATCATATTTGAAAATCTTTGTTCTATTCTGATCCAAAGAAACCTCTCTCACCAGGTTAAATGTGTAATGACTAACCATTGCAGTAGACCGCTTCAGTTTTCAAATAATTTCTTACCAGGTGTTGGTATTGCTCAGGCCAAGCCTGAGTAGAAGGTACTCAAAGGATTCCATATGCACTTGAAGGAACTTAGAACACACAGTGAACATGTAAATCCATGGCTGATTCACTCAATGTATAACAAAATCACTACAAAATTGTAAAGTAATTAGCCTCCAACTAATAAAAATAAATGGGAAAAAAAAAAAGAACACACAGTGATTCCTAAGTAGACATTTTCTTTTTAATACTTCCCAGCTCCCATATAGATTAGAGCATCAAGTTATTAAAAAGAAAGAGGGGGCGTTTGAGACAAACAGGCAGACAAACATGTTTCTAGCAGGAGAATTCAGTTTCTACATTTTCAAGTTTCCTGATACTTTTCAAAAGTTCTTATGTGCAAATACATAGCTACACAGAATGTTGTGAAAAGTAACTCTGAAACTCACTGGCGGTCACCATGCTGGCCCGTTCTCTTGGTTAGGTCCTGTGTCTTAGGAGTCAGCCAATGTAAGGATGACAAAAGTCCTAGTAAGGTGGTGAGGGCAGCTAGTTTACAGCCTAAAGATTTTCTAAAGGGTGGAGAGGAAGCAAACTAGGAAATAGTCTACACTAGTATTCAAGCTCTAAAACTAATGCCAAATTTGCCCTAAACAGATTGAGATTTTTCAGTTTTCCCCAGGACCATGCTTGCTGGTAAAATATGTAGGAATAAGTTAGCCCTAGAGACATTCTAGACTTGAGGAAGCCTTAACCTCCTGGCATTTGTGACTGGGGGAAGAGAGGTCTCAGACCTGATCCTTTGTTCCTCTCGTGTCTGGATCACCTTCAATGGCCAGGAGACTCTCTGATGTTTAGTTTCAGTGAAGCTGTGAGTAAAAGGCAGAGCAGTGCTTATCACTAATAGCTAAAGTAGAGGCAGTATGGAATTGCAGATCTAAGAAATGCTTGTACCACTGTGTACTTCATCTATGGCCAGGGCTCAATATGCAGCTTTTTTTTTCCTTCCCTATTATTTTTATTAGTTGGACGCTACTTACTTTACAATATTGTAGTGGTTTTTGCCATACATTGACGTGAATCAGCCATGGATTTACATGTGTTCCCCATCCTCAACCCCCCTGCCACCTCCCTCCCCATCCCATCCCTCTGGGTCATCCCAGTGCTCCAGACCCGAGCACTTGTCTCATGCATCCAACCTGGACTGGCGATCTGTTTCACACTTGATATATACATGTTTTGATGCTGTTCTCTCAGATCATCCCACCCTCACCTTCTCCCATAGAGTCCAAAAGTCTGTTCTATACATCTGTGTCTCTTTTTCTGTCTTGTATATAGGGTTATCGTTACCACCTTTCTAAATTCCATATAATATGCAGCTTTTTATTTTTTAACATGCAGTTCATCTTTATTCTGTCACATGATGTTGCATTTAATGAGTAGTTTTCCTATTTATTCCCTATTTTTCTTGTCTATATGTCAAAAGCCTCAACTTTCTTTTTCTTGTTATTTTTTCAAACTCCTATTACTTGCTAACTTTTTATATCACATTACCTACCATCTATCTTACTGGGTCTTATGAGTCACTTGAGGAACTCTATTACCCAGTATTTATGTATCCCCAAACTTAGTATTGAAGAAGGGAATGGCAAGCCACTCCAGTATTCTTTCCTGGAAAATTCCACAGACAGAAGAGCCTGGCAGGCTCTAGTCCACAGGGTTGCAAAGAGTAAGACATGACTTAGCGACTGAACAAACTTAGCATTAAGAGTACTTATCCTCTTACCAGTTAACTAGAATTCTCAAAAACTCTTGTTCTTCTGAGGCCAAAGGTTATACATAATTTGCTCAACTATTTACAAATCTTTTACTCCTAAACATGTCCTTTTCCAGTAGGTCAAGACCTTGTTGCCTAAACTCAGTACTACTGTTACCATCAGTGGCATTAAATCATTATCAAGAACTGTGAAATATAGTATGTGTGTCCAGTGCTCTGCTGTTAGGATGTTGGAAACAGCAACTTAAACCAAACCAAACTAGACCAAAACCCAGCAGAAGATATGACAGCTAAAGGGCTCCTGAGTAAACTACTAAAGTCTCTTGATTTTGCTATTACTACTGTATTTCAGGAGCTGCAAAGAAATGTAATATGCCCTTAAATACCTTCTTAAAGGAAAGAAAAATAACAAAGTCTAAAATTATAAAAAGTTAATACCATGAAACTATGTACTGGAAAGAAACTAATTCTATGGTCAACTTCCTATGAAAGTTTAGAGGAGGAAACAATTGGGTTGGAGTCTTAAAAGACAGGCAAAGTTTAGACAGGCAGAGACAGGCTGAAGGGTAAGTAACAACAGATCTCTGTTGCCCAGGAGAGTGCTTTAACCACTTAACCATGCTTCTGAGTCCTCCAGCATTTGGTATTATATTGTGGCAGGTTTTTGAGGTTAAAAAAAAAAGTCTCACAGGAAACACTTTAAAAAACATGGCAATTTTTTCTACTACATAGAATTGAAAAGGGAGAAAAATCTTCAGAAGAAAACAGAGAAAGCTAAACATATCTATTATTTTTGCATGATACTATTCTACTTAGAGGACATACAAAGATTATATAAGAAATTTAAAACATAGAATCACATTTCTTAAAAAAGATTGAAAAATTAGCAGAATGCAAAACTTTATATTGATATTGGGCTATAAACTTCTCTTCAAATTTGAGAATAAATATTTCTCTAAAGAGAAGACATCTGTTTGCTAAGTTTTAATGCACAGGGATTCATGGCTCAGAACTAGAAATTAGTATAACAACTGCTTTTCCTTAAATTGTTCTTTAAACTTTTGTAAGTTTTATGAGTGCAAGTACAGTAGCCAAAAAGCGATGTGGTAAGAAACAGAACTGGCAATGCTTTGGCTGTCTCTCTGCTGAGTTTGATTACAATTATTTTAAACTACCTAAGATCTGACTGAAGTGAAACAGTATTTTAAAAATGGTATTTTATCTTAGCTTTTTTGTAAATTTCATAGCCATACCAGAACTCATATGGCCATTGAACACAAACTTAAGGTAAAGTATATGACACCAGCCTCCGTATCAATGACCCAGTTTCCAAACTTTTGCAATTAATAACTGAATTTAGTATACAGTACTAGCAAGCAAAGAATCCCCAACACGGGCAAACGCTGTTACTTATCTCTGTTCCTACAGAAGCTGCCAGTTACTTACTTCCTTTCTAGTGCTGATCTCACCATTCAAACCAGCTTCCCAGGAAAATCCTTCTATCCTGGAAATGACATTATTTCCAAGTTAGATATACTTTTTTTCTGATGTTGAAATATTGTGCTTTATAGGACATATATATTTGGTCATTCAGAGGACCAAAATTTATCTTTTGTATATATTCGGTCTTCCTCCATGGCTTCTGGCTCACAGCTCCCAAAATCTTTGGAATTTCCTGAGTGATAAGAGCAATGGAAGAATCTTTTATCATAGTATTTGGTCTCTTATCTTAGTTTCTGAAACTGATTCAGAGCCACAAGGTGAAATATGGGTGTCTTGTTATTCATTACAAGTCCCTTTCTACTACAACTGAGTTTATGTTAAGGAGGTGACTTCTGGAAAGCACTTAAGGATGAGGGCTGGTTGCCAAGGGAATCAACCATGAATAGAGGGGTGAAACATTTTCAGGATAATTTCAAAAATCACCCTCTGATTTTTGGGGAGAATGAGGGACTGGAGGTTGACTCACCCAATGGCCAATGATTTAATCAATCATGCCTACATAATGAAGCCTCCATAAAAACCCAAAAGGAATGGGCTGAAGATCTTCCAGTTTGCTGAATGCAGGAAGATCGGCATCCTTTCCCCATATCTTGCCCCATGAAGCTCTGACAGCTGGTTGTTCTTGAGTAATATCCTTTAATCAACCAGTGATTCAGCAAGTAAATGTCTCTGTTTTCTGTGAGCAGCTCTAGGTGGTAGGTCAGAAGCCCAGGTAACAACCTGGACTTGAGATTGACATTGGGAAGGTTTTCCGTTGGCCTGAGCCCTTAACTTGCAGAATCTAATGCTATGCCTGGATATATAGTGTCAGAATTGGGCTGAATTATAGGATGGCCAGCTGATATCTTAGAACTGTTCAGTGGTGTGGGGAACACCACCACCCCATATTGGAACTGGGGTCCCAAAAAACTTTCTGATGATTTCTTTGCTTCCTTCTTTCTAAGAAACACATATTTTTAATCATTTTGGTCATGGACACCTTTGAGACGTTAATGAAAGTCACAAACCCTCTCCTCAAAAAAAAAAGCATAGTAGATACAAAACTGCATGAATTTTCAAGGAATCCCTGGGCCCTCCCTGAAGTTCATCCACATACCCAACAGGGATCTGTGGACTCTAGGTTAGGAGCTCCTGCTCTGGTGCACAGCTAACTTTCACAGGTTGCCTAGTTAGGATACTCCTATCAAAGAAACTCGAATAACAAGCAGAGAGCTCACTTAAGAGTACTAGCTACAGAATGCCCTCAGTTTTCCCACGCCTTGGCCATGCTATTTTCTTACCCATTTCAGTACCTGTTAATCTTTGACCTGACTGAACCAGAGAACTACTGAGTCACTGAAGCTTTGGGATCCTGATTATCAGCACAATTTACCCACACCCTCCCCTCAGGAAGGCAAAAGAGATGTGAATTCACGTTGTGACAGTGAGTTCTTTAACTCCAAATGTGGTCTAATTTGAAAATTCTGCACTAGCAATTACTTTTTCAAATAGCTAATGCTCATCACTGTTATTACAGGGAGGCAGCTATAAGAATGTCATCTATAGTTCATCACCAGGAATATAGCGCTTCTGACCCTCCACTTTGGTTTGGCTATGATTCTGAAGGCAAGTCTCTTACAGAGCAACAAAATACATCACTTAAAGATTCAGAATTGACCACAAAAGAGTCAACATACAATAGTGAAGAGGAAGCAGTATGACCTTCAACCTCAAGCAAGAACAAAAAATCGAGAATCTGGCAACTTCATTTGATGCTAGCTGGATCTAAACAGTATAAACAAGATGGAAATCATTTCCAGATTTTTATTCCAGCTATGTGTTTGTAAATACATCTATGAGTTCTTCTATCTAACAATCACAATTAAAAAAAGCCAAATCAAGTACTGCTACTATGTAACTTTTCTACTTAAATTTACCTTAATCAAACCAATTGTTTTGATGAGATTATCAAATCTATGGTTACAGCTGTATACAAAACAATCCTGACAGATATGATGTTTTTGATAAGAAATTTAGAAACTTCTCCTTAGAAAAGAAAGCAGAAGGCTATATAAAACAGTAAGAGTTTTGAGTGAGAGCAATGACATTAAGGATCTGTGAGGCTTTATTATAAATGATATAGATATACATTTCTAAAAGAAACAAAGCTTTCTAGTAATTTCTAGACACTTAACAAGAGAGCTCTAAATGCCAATTAACCCAGGACTCATTTCAACATTTGACTTAACAGTCAGAGGCAAATTAAAAAGAAACAGTCCCTTTTAATCAAATTTGCACTGTCCCTGCAATGTCTCAGAAAGATCTTTTTTTATTGAAGTATAGCTGATTTACAATGCTGTGTTAGTTTAGGTGTATAGCAATGATTTGGTTATATACATGCACACACATACATATATATTTTTTGTATTATTTTCTCTTATAAGTTATTACAAACCCTTAAGTATAGCTCCCTGTGCTTTTCAGAAGATCCTTGTTTGTTATCTATTTTATATACAGTAGTGAGTACATGTTAATTCCAAACTTCTAATTTATCCTTCCTCCCACCACCCTCTTCCTTTGGTAACCATAAATTTGCTTTCTGTCTGTGGGGTTATTTTTATTTTGTAAATAGGTTCATTTGTATCTTTTTCTTAGATTCCATATATAAGTGGTATAATATGATATTTGTCTTTGGTTTACTTCACTTAGTGTAATAATTTCTAGGTTCATCCTTGTTGCTCCAAATTATTTCATTCTTTTTATGACTGAGTAATATTCTGTTGTGTGTGTGTATACATATCTATATATATTTCACATTTTCTTTATCCATTCATTTGTCAATGGACACTTAAGTTGCTTTCATGTGTCCTGACTATTATAAATAGTGTTGCAATGAACACTGGGGTGCAAGTATCTTTTTCAAATTTTAGTTTTTGAGTAAGAGTGCTAGATCATATGAAAGAAATTGAAGATGACACAAACAGATGGAAAGATGTAATACGTTCCTGGATTAGAAGAATCAATATTGTTAAAATGGCTATACTACTCCAGGCAATCTACAGATTCAATGCAATTCTCACCAATTTACCAATGGCATTTTCCATAGAACTAAGCAAAAAAAAATTTTTATTCAGGCTCCCTGACTTCAGACTAAACTACAAAGGTACAGTAATCAAGAAAGTATGGTACTGGCACAAAAAACAGAACTAGAGATCAATGGAACAATAGAAACTCAAGAAATAAACCTGGACATCTATGGTCAATTAATATATGACAAGAAGATTCAATAGAGAAAAGAAGGTCTCTTCAATAAGTGATACTGGGAAAACTGAAGATCTATATGTAAAATAATGAAATTATAATATTCTCTACCACCATATACAAAAATAAACTCAAAGTAGGTTAAAGACCTAAATGTAAGACTAAGTACTATAAGACTCCTAGAGGAAAACATAGGTAGAACACTGTGACAAAAATCACAGCAGTATCTTTTTGTATCCATCTCCTAGAATAATGGGAATAAAATAAAAAAATTAAAAGTAGGACCTAATTAAAAGCTTTTGCACAGTAAAGGAAGCTTTAAACAAATGAAAAGACAACAGAATGAAAGAAAAATTTTCAAATGATGTGACCGACAAGGGATTTACAAACTATATAAACAGCTTATACAGTGCAATATCAAAAAAACACCAAATGACCTAATCAAAAAAATGGGTAGATCGAAACAGATATTTCTCCAAAAAAGACATATAGATGGCCAACAGGCACATGAAAAAATGTTCAATGTCACTAAATATTAGAAAAATGCAAATCAGAATTATAATGAAGTATCACTTCACAGGCTATGAATAATAAATATTAGGGAAGGAATGGAGAAAAGGGAACCCTCCCATACAGTTGGTGGAAATGTAAGTTGGTACAGCCACTATGGAGAACGTATGGAGGTAACTTAAAAAACAAAAAGATTTTCTTTTAATCAAATTTTCACTATGGAGAAAATTTTAAACTATGCTATACCAAAAAAAGCTCCTAACTTTATGCTAGGAGATATGGGTTACTGATTGTGTATCTACATGTAGTTTTTAATAAGCTTTCATCTACGAATTTATATCATTAGGGTAAAAGATAATAACTCTCTTAAGATTTTAACAGAATTCCAATGATCGCATACCAGTATATGATTATTTATTTCATACTATGTAACATTAAGGCTTATAGAGTCCAAGAAAGAACTCTGTTCTGCCACAATGTTGGTAGTATTAGATCAGTCTTTTACTCCACTACTCATCCCTTAAATTGGGTTACTGTCTTTTGAACCCCACAAATACAAAGTAAAGATTAAAGTTTAGGTAAAAGATATGAAAGTTATTTTGAAAAGCTTTAAAAAGTCTTACTTTTTAAAAAGGTATTTTTAATACAGTTCCCTAAAATTAGCTAAATGCTCTTAGTAATTCTCCCCTTTCTTAGTACATGGTCCACTGGAGAAGGGAATAGCAAACCACTTTAGTATTGCCTTGAGAACTCCATGAACAATATGAAAAGGCAAAAGGGTTTGACACTGAAAGATGAACTCCCCAAGTCAGTAGGTGCCCAATATGCTACTGGAGAATAGTGGAGAAATAACTCCAGAAAGAATGAAGAGACAGAGCCATAGCAAAAACAACACCCAGTTGTGGATGTCACAGGTGACAGAAGTAAAGTCTGATGCTGTAAAGAGCAATATTGTGTAGGAACCTGGAATGTTAGGTCCATGAATCAAGGCAAATTAGAAGTGGCCAAACAGGAGACGTCAAGTATGAACATCAACATTTTAGGAATCGGTGAATTAAAATGGACTGGAATGGGTGAATTCAACTCAGATGACCATTATATCTACTACTGCGGCCAAGAAGAAATGGAGTAGTCATCATAGTCAACAAAAGACTCCAAAATGCAGTACTTGGATGCAATCTCAAAAACGACAGAATGATCTCTGTTTGTTTCCAAGGCAACTCATTCAATATCAGAGTAATCCAAGTCTATGCCCTGACCAGTAATGCTGAAGAATCTGAAGTTGAACGGTTCTATGAAGACCTACAAGACCTTATAGAACTAACACCCCCAAAAGATGTCCTCTTCATTATAGGGGATTGGAATACAAAAATAGGAAGTTAAGAGTTACCTGGAGTGACAGGCAAACTTGGCCTTGCGGTACAAAATGAAGCAGGTCAAAGGCTAACAGTTTTGCCAAGAGAACGCATTGGTCATAGCAAACACCCTCTTCCAACAGCACAAGAGACGACTCTATACATGGACATCACCAGAATGGTCAATACCAAAATCAGACTGATAATAGTCTTTGCAGCCGAAGATGGAGGAGCGCTATACAGTCAGCAAAAACAAGACCAGGAGCTGACTGTGGCTCAGATCATGAACTCCTTATTGCCAAATTCAGACTTAAATTGAAGAAAGTAGGGAAAACCACTAGACCATTCAGGTATGACCTAAATCAAATCCCTTACAATTATACAGTGGAAGTGACAAATTGATTCAAGGGATTAGATCTGATAGAGTGCCTGAAGAACTATGGATGGAGGTTTCATGACATTGTACAGGAGGCAATGATCAAGACCATCCCCGAGAAAAAGAAATGCAAAATGGCTGTCTGAGGCCTTACAAATAGCTGAAACAAGAAGAGAAGATAAAGACAAAGGAGAAAAGGAAAGATATACTCATCTGAATGCGGAGTTCCAAAGACTAGCAAGGAGAGATAAGAAAGCCTTCCTCTAGCATCAATGCAAAGAAATAGAGGAAAACAACAGAATGGGAAAGACTAGAGATCTCTTCAAGACAATTAGAGATACTAAGGGAACATTTCATGCAAAGATGGGCTCAATAAAGGACAGAAATGGTATGGACCTAACAAAAGCAGAAAATATTAAGAGGTGGCAAAAATACACAGAAGAACTATACAAAAAACACCTTCATGACCCAAATAACCACTATGGTGTGATCACTCACCTAGAGCCAGACATCCTGGAATGTGAAGTTAAGTGGGCCTTAGAAAGCATCACTACAAACAAAGCTAGTGGAGGTGATGGGATTCCAGTTGAGCTATTTCAAATCCTAAAAGATGATGCCCTGAAAGTGCTGCACTCAATATGCCAGCAAATTTGGAAAACTCAGCAGTGACCACAAGACTGGAAAAGGTCAGTTTTCTTTCCAATCCCAAAGAAAGGCAATGTCAAAGAATGTTCAAACTACCACACAATTGCACTCATCTCACAAGCTAGCAATGATCAAAATTCTCCAAGCCAGACTTCAACAGTATGTGAACTGTGAACTTCCAGTTGTTCAAGCTGGATTTAGCAAAGGCAGAGGAACCAGAGATCAAATTGCCAACATCCGTTGGATCATCAAGAAAGCAAGAGAGTTCCAGAAAAACAACTAATTTTGCTTTATTCACTATGCCAAAGCCTTTGATTGTGTAGATCATGACAAACTGGAAAATTCTTCAAGAGATGGAAATATCAGACCACCTGACCTCCCTTCTGAGAAATCTGTATGCAGGTCAAGAAGCAACAGTTAGAACTAGGCATGGAACAACAGACTGGTTCCAAATCAGGAAAGGAGTACATCAAGGCTGTATACTGTCACCCTGCTTATTGAACTTCTATGCAGAGTACATCATGCGAAATGCTGGGCTGGATGAAGCACAAGCTGGAATCAAGATTGCTGGGAG